AATGGAAGGAGTCGTGGACTGTATGATGCCATGTAGACAAAAATTAAAGAGGGTGGGCGAAAGAACTGAATTTTGTTTTTGAAACAGGAGTTCCAGCATGAATCGGTCTTTCAACTGAATTTATATAATTTATTTTGACAGTGAAGGTTCGGTCATTGTGAAAGGAATACAGAATATTGTATAAGTGTTGTGGAGCATTAACTTGCTTGAGTTCATTCAGAAGACTTTGATGCCAGACCTTGTCGAACCTGTATATGGGGCTCTCATTTCAAATCCGTTCACCACATATTCTGGCAGTCTTGATAGGTTGTGATATGGAATGATTAAACTGGAAACCAAATTAAAAGTTTGGAATAGTTTCAATAGATTGAAAAAAGGGAGAAAGACGCTTTTTTTTATAACTGATTCTTACATTTTTCCCAAGGGTCGTTAGTAAGCTTATGGATCTATAATTGCTAATTTGTTGATTATTTTTATTTGACTTGTGGATAACTACCAGTTCTACTTTCTTTCATGAATTAGTAAATTTAAAAATCCCTAGAAAAAAATTAAAAATTTAAGTTATTTGTGCAAAAACTGTTCTTGGTAATTTTTTAATAGAAATGACTGGTATCAAATCATGGGCAGGACTTTCCCTTATTTTGAGGCTACAAATAAGTGCACGAATTTCTTATTATATTCTTTGAATATTCCATTGGTTGTTGTGCTGTTGATACAGATGATTCTAGGAACTTGTAAATGTCGTTGTTTTCTATATAGCTTCCTGATTTTTCTCTCTCATTTATTGTATTAGAGAACTTTTTTTTTTTTGGAAAAAGATAGATTTTAGATTTATCCTCCATGTCACTAGTGATGCAATTTTCGTTTTCTATTAACCTAGGAATATTTTCTTTTTTATTTAAAAGAGGTCTTGTAGATTTACATATAACACTATAACGATTGGTCTTTTTGGTCGCTAACTCTATTCTGGCGACATCATTTTTGAACTGCGAAAGCGTGAATACCTCGAGTTCTTCTTTGTTTCATTTACTTTTATATATTACAGTAACATATATTAATATTTAGCATTCAACATACTGCAACAATAACAACATTTAAAATATTTTTATTTTTACTCAAAAGACCTAAGCTTCCATTCTCGCAGGAAGTTGGGGAAATTTCTACGTTTGATAATAATTATTAAATTAGCAATTATCATTATACTGAAAAAGAATTAAATGGGGAAAAGATTATTTGTATTTTTATAATATGATATGTGGTTCATGAAATTTTACATTCATCGCTTATCATTTCCAATTACATATTCCAGAAAGATATTAGCATATTGTAAGTAATAAATCTTTTATGTTTCATTTGTCTACTATGCGAATAATCAGGAAAACAAATTTTATATATTTTATGTTATAGCAAGCGATTATATCTGTTTTTTCTTCGAATTTCCTCATTCCATTCCTTCCACCTTTTTGACGCTAACAACTAACTGGCGGATTCCTGGTAGGTATCTACGTGCCATAATACAAATGGCTGCAACATTAATCGTAAATGCAAAAAAATATAATTTAATCCGTTCCATAAAAGTTCTTTTGATTATAAAATATTGCTATTACATATCAGAACTTTAAAAAAAATATATTTATTATTTTTACTGTTTTTAAAGGTTATTGTATTTAAATCGTTATTTGCTAAGTACAAAAACTGCTAAAGTTATTGCTTTTGCCAGAGGATTTTTTTGGTTGTGTTTGCTGGTCAGGTATATCTTATTTTGCCTGAATTAGCCTTCTACCCCTTATCACGAGTTATAGTTTTTTAACTATTGAAGCATCCATTGTTGTATTGATGCTTCCTGATGGATTTCTTAAAGATACATGTCCATCCCATCTTATTTCCTCCAAAACGATAACACGATGTATTAATTGGTAAGATTCTGTGAGTAATTTTGTATCGATCCTTCACCTTCATGCGTTAGTACTCTGGTTCAGTACTAAATAGGATATCTTGCGGAGGTTTTCCTCTCAAGTCTTACGATGCATCTTTTCCGCGTGCTAGTTAGTCAGTATACTGGTGAGTACGCTGACCAGATTCATCTCCATTATTTTGAGATTATTCGGGATTTCGATACCTTTAAAAGAGGGGAAAAAGCTCCGTTATGTGCTATTGTCTAACAATTAGCCATTTATTAACATTAAAATATTCGAATCTGTTTCCTCTCGGGAAAGATTTTTTTCCTTCTACAAGATTCTGTCGATGAGCTGAATTTTTCGGCTTACTATCATGTATTTTCAGTAACTAGAGGGTATATTTCCGATCTTATCAGAATCTGAATAAGTCTCTCAATATCCTTCTGATTGGTTCTAAACACGTCTGTATGATCTTTATATCCTGGTATTTTATACTTCCTTTCGAACTGTACTTCACAATTTCCATGCTGTGTTCTTATCACTTTCTCTAGTACTAAGTTGAATAACATCTTATCTTTTCTTTTGGTATCTTCAGAACGCCATCTTTTCCTCACGTTTGTGTATTTCTTGCTCTATATCCTTCTATTTCTTTCCTAATATCTACTTAGAATATGCTTATATTTCCAGTCTGCCAGTACTCCTTAATATTTTATTGTCTTTCTTTTATAAATTATATATATATATATATATATATATATATATATATATATATATATATATATATATATATATATATATACACGGGGGGACCTACGGGAGGGGGGTGTAAGGGACCTTTCAGCCTGAATTTGGCCTCCTCCCTCCCCTCAAAATGGTGAAATATAGTCATGTCTTATGAAAAACATATTTATATTTAATATTTACCTCTAAAGGTATTATTGTTCTTGTAATTACATTTAATAGTACTCACTTAAACTCTATTTAGAAAGTTAGATCCTTTCCTTTTCTTTCTAAGTAATTATCGTTATATATTTTTAAAAAAATCTTTCGGGATGAAGCCTCTCCCCTCCCCAAATAAAAATCCTGGATCCGCTACCGTATATATATATATATATTTGATATATTTGGTTTGCGTTATGGATCATGTAAGGTCTTTGACCACGCGATGAGGTCTTCTTATAGACATATGTTACTTCCGAAAGATTTTGTAGTTTATTTTAATTTTCAATATTTTTAAACTCATTTACATTTAGGGATACCAAGCAAGAAATAAATTATATTGCATAATATATACTTAAATAAAAACATAGTGAAATAGTTCATTCTTACCAAAAAGTAGCAATACAAGTTTTTTCACTTACGCTCCACCTTATTGTGTTGTTGAGTCCTTGAAGAGAAGTTGGAATTTGGTAGTCCTTGGAAAATTATCCTGAGTCCTCCGAAATAACTACTCACGCGCTTACCAAGAGAGGTCACGTTCAGGGATCCACCGATTTAAATGATTTTTTTTTTTGTGATATTACTTCGAAAAATATCAGACACATGGCATTCCTTCTAATGGTCCTTAGGAGCGGGAAAAAAATATTTTATATAATTTTAATTTTAATTATGTTATTTTCCTTGGTTTTTCCAGAATTTCTAGATTATTGTATACCAATCGATTTATTTTTTGCCCATAATAATAAAAATATTGCTATGGTATGGTATTAAATAATACACCATGTATAATAATTTACAAAAGACTTCTTGTAAAGTAGGCCAGTAAATTTTAGTTATAAAAAGCAGTTAGAATCTTTTTTAGTGTCATTTAAAACTCTTAAATAGAATTTTTTATAGAAATCAAACGTTCTGAATTACAGCGCTTTGTTTTCACCGGCCGTTAATTTCATAATTCATAACTTCTCAGGATTTTCTCCAAATTCCACGTTAGTACAACAGCAGAAGCTAAATTACTGCTATCAGTAAGTTTTAGATTTCTTATATATAGTATCTTATAATTTTATTATTTATTCAATTTATAACAACTATTTCGTGGTACAGAATCTTTTTTAAATAATTTCATCTCATTGTAACCTACAACTATTTTATTTACAAAAACTCTTGGAATTGGGGCGTTTTTAATATGGAGGAGGGCGAACTTTGTCTATTTAATTAGGTACTAAAAACACTTTTTTTGTCGATCTGTGATCAAATTATTTTAAAATCCAAATGGAAAGTAAATGGGTATCTACTACTTTTTAGTACCTAATTAAATAGACAAAGTTTGTTCCCGTCCAGTTTGAAAACGCCCCAATTCCAATAGTTTTCATAAATAAAATATTTTTAAGTCACGTCGAGATATATTCACGAAGTTCCAACCGAATGGTGATAATTCGATAAAAAGGGGTGCAGTTATTTGTTTTTGAATAATAATTATAAATATTAATAAACGTGATGTTAATATATATTATTTCGAAAATCGGCTCATTTTTCAAGGAATGAAACGATACTTGCATTTCTTAAGTATTATTAAAAATATATCATTAAAAGAATATTACATTTTATTCGATTGATAAAAAAAAATATATATTTACTTCATTGTGCCATAATTGTAAAGAAAATGTTTATTTTTTACAGTAAAATTGTAATGATACAATTTTTTTTCTCTCCAAACTGAAACCCAATCAACATTTTTTTTTTTTCATAAACAGGACTCAAGTTTTAATTCGTTTCGAAAAAGGTTTGTTTTAAGTTGTAATGTATATTTTAATTTCTATTAATGTAATCAAAGATTTACGAAAATATGTGCTTCTAATAAAGAATTTGTTAATTTATTTTTTAAATATGATAAAATTCAAATCGCGTTTCCTAAAAAACTATTTATGTTTATTAGTGTTCACTTTAGTAACAAACGACTCATATGATTGAATAACGACTCATTGTATTGAATAAGATTAAGATTTCAAAATATACAATCAATGAACGAATCATTCATATAATTCGATTGCTCTAAAAAGACAGAGAGGTATCAATGAGGAGAGAAACAGAGGAAAGCCGTGGGGAGTGGCAGATAAGCTGGAGTAGGCAGTGGAAGGGGAGTCAGTGCTCAGCCGGCGACGAGAGATGCATCGTCTACTCTTGCTGTTGGTAGCGGCCTTCCCGCTATGTCGGGCTCAGGACGTCCTTCTCGAGTGTCCTCCAGGACAGAGCTGCGTCAGGAAGTGCTGTCCGGAAGGGCAGAAGATAGGACCGAGGGCCTGCGTGCCTGGTGGCCTAGGGCTAGATGTACCCAACGGTACGCTTATCGTAGTCGACCGTCCCAAATGCCCCATGTTCTACCTAGAACCTGGCTCGGACGAGTTCGAAATATTCTACAATGGTACCTTGATGTACACAGACAGAGACACTCAGGTTGTCACAAGAGAATTCTGCTTGGACGAGAACGATTTCAACTCAACATTCGCCTATATTTGCTTCCCGCCAAACGAAGAAGAAGTCCTGGAAGCGACCTTACAAGCGTACTCTATAGGCCTTTGTTTCTCTATACCTTTTCTCCTGGCCACTGTCATCGTCTACGCTTCCTTCAAGAGGTTGAGGAACCTTCACGGCAAATGCATTCTCTACCATACCTCATGCATGCTTCTCTCGTACATTTTCCTGGCTTTACTCCAGAACGGTCACTTCCAAGAGGAAATGCCCTGCATAATAGTCGGTAAGCCAGTTTAAAATTTCTTTTATTTCAAAATGAAATCATACATTAAGAATAATATCCCACTTTATCTCAGATAGTACCACTTATAAGTGATAAACATTTCAATTGCAATAGCTGTGGATACGTTTTTCCATTTAATCCAAATTATTTCTATTTTCCTATATTCTAACCTATAAAAGGTATTTTTTTTATAAAGACATTAATAAACTTTATGAATGTTTAAACCTTCACAGACGGATCTACGGTAGGAAAGAGGGAGTTTTCGGACTTAAGTCTCCCTCTCCCGTAAATGGTAAAATGTAACCATGTTTATGGTAAAAAATTATCTGTTAAAAAGTATTATTGTTCGTGTGATTACATTTAATGGGACTTCAAGAATCACTTAAACACCATTTCACACATAGGTAGTTAAGATCTCTCTTTTTTTTTCCAAATTAATTAACGCTATATATAAATAAAAAAAATCTTTCGGGATGAAGCTCCCTCCCAAAATTAAATTCTGAATCCGCTAGAGCTACTTTTAGACCTTCTTTACGTGTGATTATAAAAATCACTCATATTTCCATATCTCTCATTAATTTAGTTTCCTCTCCCTTAATTTAGTTATCCCTCCTTAATCAGTTCTGATTATAACTGATGAAAAATGCCTGTCTTGTTAATAAAGAACAAAAAAAAAAGATAAAAAAATTTAATTTCAGAACGACTAAGAGATTTTGACGAGTAAATTAAATACGTATTTAGTATAAGCATATTCAATTTGTACATACTGTACCGATTCATATTCTGTTTTTTTTTTTAATCATTATAGTTAAATATATACTTCGCATTGTGGAACTTTTTTTTATATTTTAAAATTCTATGATGATCAAAACTCGCTGATATCAAATCCGCGGTTGATATGGGATTGTTATATTTCAAAAACAGCTTCTGTCTTCTTCTACTTTTGACGAATGAAAATGGCGAGAAAACTAAACTAGCTATAAACTAAGCAACATTGTTTAACATTTTTTAATTTTATTATTTATTATTTATTTATTCATTAAAAATTTTTCGGAATCGGAATAACCTATCTAGAATTGATCTATTTATTGCATATTGTATCTCTTCTATTTTCTTAAATATCATTTACAATGTTAAACATGAAGTTCTTTCTTGGTCTCTAGTAAAATAACGTAATTAAAGTAACATGAACATTCTAGTAACGGTGTATTAAAGAATATATTAAGTCCACCATAGTTTCACTCTTATTGTTTATGCTGATATAAATATTAATATGTGTATAAAAAAAAGTATAACAATGAGGAAACGAATTACGGAATAGTGGAATCTTATAACTAGAAGATGCTGCCCAACACAAAACAAACAAATTAGGATATCTAAACAATTTAACAGTTACTACAGTTTTCTTACATATGAATTGTGGGTTTACAATCTATGTTCCCTTAGCGACTGCAGGGATCCCAAAACCCAAGACCGGAATCTTGTTCTATGTTTTTTTGGGCACCCTTCCATCTGATATGTGAGGGTATATGAGTGAGTAAATATACCATAAGTGTTTATATTTCATAGGATACTAGCTGATGTACCCATCCTTGACGGGTGTATAGTTAAAATTTGAGAATCTTTTTTTGAGATGGATTTTTTATTATGGGGGGAGGAGGATCCAAATTCAATTTCATTAAATTGAGTCGGGAGCGAGGGGGGGAGGAGGGTGTTTGTTTTAAATGTTTTATGGCGGGGCTTATGGAAGTCAAGGTTTCACAAAACTTTTCTTATTCGGCTATTTGTTTAGGTACTACACAACTAAACCGACCACCACCGATCCATTAAAATTTGTTAAGTGTTTAATTTTCATTTATGATGAAGCGGATTGTTGAATCGATTAATAAATCAAAAAGAGTTGTAGTCTCTCCATTTCTTTAAACTCTGCTGAGTTTATCGCTAGTAAAATAACCAAAATAACAGTGGACATTGAGTCACCTACATCCGTGTAAAATTAGAACTTGATCTGAATATTGTGGCGGGCTGGGTGAAATTTTTGGATTTTTTTTCCTGTTTTCCGGCTAATCCTAAAAATGTATACGACGACATTTGTTAGGCTCGGGAAGTTGGATCGAATGACCCCCCTTGAACGTGAAGATCACAGAAAGTTGAAAAAGGAGTGTTTTACCCGTTTTATGTGACAACGCGTTACAGATGTTCGGTATTCCGGATTTTTCTCGTTGAGTTGTGATAATTTCTTCCATCATTTGAGTAGTACAACTTTTAAATGTGGGTTGCGGTAGAGTAGGTTGGGATTAGAATAGTAGTAAGTGCTTCACCGGGATGTCTAAACAAATTACTCAAGAATTCATAACTTTGGTTCTACTCAATATTTCATTTTCATTTAAAGCCTATATTTTAAGTCAAGCAAACCTAAAGGTAATGTCAAAAATTCAAAAGTCTATCATAAGACATTGCCGAGCTTACCACTAACAAAATTACGTTGGACAATGCGGACATCCAGACAAACACATTTTTTTTTTATAAGTGGATTTGGCGTCTGTAATGTATAAAACGGAAATATATGATGAAACGTGCTGGTTCTATTCAATGTACCGACAAAACCTTTATTTTATTTATATAGACGTTCTTTAACCTATAAACATATGTTTATTACTAAGGTTTATTATCAACATTACCCGAGATCTCTGGACAAATTATTCAAGAATTCATAACTTTGGTTATACTCAATATTTGATTTTCATTCAAAGCCTATGTTTTCCTATGTCGAATTAATAACTTTGGTTATACTCAATATTTGCTTTTCATTTAAAGCCTATGTTTTAGGTCAAGTAAACCTTAATATAATGCTAACATTTCAAAAGTGAGCTATTGCTGAGCTTACCACTGACAAAATTTCGTTGCAATGAGGGCATAAAGACAAAAAATTTTTTGAAATTCGATTTGGTGTCTACAACATATGAAACGGAAAGATATCATAAAACGGGTTGATTCTATTCAATGTACAGACAAAATCTTTATTTTATTTATAGAGATTTTTTTTTAACCTATAAACATATGTTTATTCTTAAGATTTATTATCAACATTAACCGAGATCTTTAGACAAATTACTCAAGAATTCATAACTTTGGTTATACTCAATATTTGCTTTTCATTTAAAGCCTATGCTTTAAGTCAAGTAAACCTTAATATAATGCTAAAATTTCAAAAGTCTAAAATAAGCCATTGCTGACCTTACCGCTGACAAAATTTCGTTTCAATGCGGACATACAGACAGACAAAAAAAAAAAAATGATCCAAATCAAAGAGCTCATTGAATAACTGAGGACATTTTACAACAATACATTCTAAACACATCCTTCAAACTATAAGAGGCATTATACGGTCTTCAATAGTCTTAGGAGATGAGGTTCCGTGTATAATAGTACATCTGTTCTAAATTTTAAGTATGATTTGAGATGGTATGCTTCAAAATGGTATGTTTTTGTGTTGAATTGACATGGAATAATCCAACAGTTATAAAAAAGAAAATAGATAGTTTCCATATGGATTTGATAAATAATGTGAATCATGCTTGATACCAGAATCAGTTCGAATGACGAATGAAGACCTTCCTTTGGCGCTTCTTATCTTTTCCCATACGCATATGCTTCCTGTCCATCATCGACATCGCAAAAACGTCTGTTTTGTTGATAAGATATGTTTAAATGTAAATGTGCTACATTAGGTCCTAGGAGGAAGTAAAGACATTGTTTAAAAAAAAAATAACAGTTTTATAATGTTTTATGAGTGACTAGTTTAAGAATCGGGTCTCGTTAAGATTACTCTCACCAGTGAATTTTTTAATGATATTTAGTAACAGTTTTTATGAAACTTGATACCATGGATATAGAAATAAAATCACATGCTTAAATATTATTTAATTTAGTATCGTTTGTGTAATTGCGGTTATAAAGTGATGACACGATGAATATTTTTGAAGTTTACTATTTATGCAAAGAAGAGGAACGAGCCAAGATTTTCTTTGAAAAAAGAGGAATTATACCTAAGGCAAACTATTGTAAAAAAGGCTACATTATGAAATTTTACGAAGATATGAAAAAATATAGGAGCAACAAAAGACAATGCCGGTATGAATGTGGCATGTTTATGGGTACGTGGCTATGTTACAACTGGTTACTGTTAAATAAAGCCCTTTTATTCATTTATTCATGGGAACAGGAGTATACGACGTTTAAATTCTGTTCCGAAGAATTCAATATCAGCTCCACTACAATTGTAGATTGGAAAAATTATCTGCGGGAAGTGTGCGCAGCTAGTTTGCTGAAAAACTCGATTAATATTTGAGGGAAAGGACTGACAGTTTAGATAGACGAGTCCTGTTTTTCTCGTCGAAAGTATAATGTAGGACGCACCTAGCCACAGCAATGGGTGTTAGGCGGGATCTGTGAAACTAAAGAGTGTTTTTTGTACGCAGTGCGTCATAGGAGAAGAGAAACACTGGATTGTGCATAAGAACATCAATTAGACCGGGTTCCATTATAATGTCTGACCTGTGGAAGTTCTATAGTGGGATAGAAGAAATGATTGGAAAGGATTACAGGCATTATACTGTAAATCACTCCAACAATTTCGACGACCAAGAGACTGGTGCTCACACTCAAAGAGTTGAGTATAAGTGGGCGACGGCCAAAAGGAAAAACAATAAAGAATGTGGGGTTTATCGCTCTTTGTTTGACTCGTATTTATGTGAGTTCATTTGGAGGCAGAAATACTCAAATGAAGTTTTTGATAAAATCTTTAAGGACATAGTAGAATTTTGGTCTTCAGAGCTACCTGGAGTAACTCATTAAAAGTATGGTTTTGGTTATGTTTAAAAAGTTCCTATTAAATAAATCATATGTTTCTTTAACCTATATTTTTTAATTTATCAATAGTAACTGTTACTAGATAAAATAACTGGCGGACCTAATTTAAACAAGACCCTAAGAATCTTTTTTGATTAAAGTT